CAGTTTTATATTTTCGGTCCAAAAACTCCCACAACTCCTTAGAAAACTCCCACAAAATCTTCTTCATCATATTTGATCTCCAAGGTCTCTAAATCAACGCCAATTTCCTTAAAAACAGCTAGGTGATCCTCAAGAGATGTACATTTTGTCATACGATGAGAATATAAACGTTACTTCACATACAATTTGCTAATAAGATTATTCGTCATGCATAATCTCTCTAATTTTAATCATAATGCAGCGGCTGACTTCTCCTTCAAAACATCTTGAAGAATATTATTTAAAAGATGAAGATATTTGAGATAGGGCATTTTGATCCCTCCGTTGTTTCTCCTCCATAGTCCAAGTTGTAGGCATCTTGTCAAATCCCAACGTGTTGCCCAGATTTATCTGAGCGAGTACTGCTCGCATCTTTACCTGTCATAAACAGAATATTGTATGGCGATCCAATAGCAAAATATCATACTTCATTGTTGTCATCATGAAAGATCAAGTTGAGATATTAACTTGATCAAAACCTCGATCTTCCCAAGAATTTCAATGCCAAAAGATCTGATACCAATTTGTTGTGAAAAGCAAAGGTGATACCGGATTAATCCAATACCATTTTATTTGGGGAAAATAAGAGATTAAGCCAGAATATGAAGCAAAGATCACAAGAATACGAGAACAATGTAATTTTGTAGAAAATTGAGATTTTATTATAATATGAAAAAAGAATACAAAGATTATAAGTTTGCGATTATTCTAACTTCTTACTTGAATCGTAATGAAGAGCCAAATATACATAGGGAATAAATAGGGGACATCCAAACCTTACTAGTAGAGTTGTATTTGAAGTGGAATGTCAAAAACGAAGTAAGGGAAGAAAAACACGCTAAAAGGCACTGCGGCGCTGCATCGCCACTCTCCAGGTGCGCAACATCGTTGCTAACGCTAAGGAGCCGGCTTCTAATCCAGCTTTATGGGACCCGACGCCTAGGCACTTGTCTCTGTCCCAAATGTCTTCCAAGAATGTTTTTCTTCAAGTCCAATACAAATTTTAACTCTCAATTGGTTCACAAATAGAACTTCAACTAGAATTTGCTAAATAGACTTCGAATATGATTCCAAAAGCTTTCCAAATAGAAATTTTCTTAACATACACTTTAATTAGAGCTCTCAATTATCTTCAACAAAGAATTCGAGTCACTCCCAAATTCTAATAGTCTGAACATAAATGAAGCAGGCATGATCGGCGTGATTTTTGAAGCTTACCGAATATTTTAGGTTGCAAATTGTTGAGTATTTCCCATTGGTTCCAAGTTCACAGGCCATTTCTTGGATTCAAACCATTTTTTTTTCTTTATCATAATAATGGATTTTTTTGAAGCTTAAAAATGTAACAGAGGCTTGGGATGCCAACGATGATTGGATATGAGATGGTGGTGAAGTCGATGAGAAAAGAATCGTGTGATGGCGACAAGAAAAAAAATATGATTCTTATAAGGTAATTGGTAAATGCAAGAAAATATGCTAGATGTAAGAGAGATTTTTTTACCCTTCGAATGCCTGATAAATATAGCAGTGATTTACGGAAGGGTATTGTTATGACTCTTTACTAGGGATTGCCACGTGGCCATTATAATTAAGCTGTAAGGCTCAATCCGACCCAACTGTATTGCTTCTTTTTGTGTAGACCGAGGCCCCTTATTCGAGGCCCTATTATCAATCGAGGCTCCTTATCCAAGGCCCTCTTATCAGCCAGGCCTAATTACTTCCTGGGCACCGAATCCAAGGCTCCCCAACTCGTGACGACCCACGTGCAAGGATTTACTCATGATGAAGATCTTTATCTAAATGATTGATGTAACCTTTGTAAAAAGTGAAGTTATGTCTTGTCTTGTCAATGTAAGAACATTAAATGCTTTGAAAAGCTAGGAAGTCAAAATGATGGCTAAGATTTGATGCTTTGGCCATAGGGATGAGGCCACGTGTAATTTCATCCAATGGTCATCATCTTATTTGTAATACTATAAATACCCCCACCAAGTAACAAGTGAAGACTAATGAAACTTCAAATCCTCAAAGCAACCAATTTCATTCTCTTATCATCGATTAATCATTATACAATTTTGTTCCGTAAATCCTGCCGGAGTCCGAACGGAAATGTCTCATGTCATTGAGCTTCTCCCACGTCCAATCTTTGGAGCGAACACGACCATAGATCTGCCTTAACGTGCTCGATATGGCTTACGCATGCATGAGTGGGCTCGGCATTTGTTGAGTTCGTTTTCTGAGGTCAACACGTATCATAACTTCATCTAAAAGTAATTAATTATAAATCACATTAAGTAGGTAACTTGGCTAGTTCATCTACTCTAAGGTTTCCCTGGGGAACTTCATTTAGAAAATCAGCTTTAACACCTTTCATCTTTTCATTTCATGAATCTTTTTTTCACTCTCTCGTTGAAACTGTTATTTCAGTCCCTCCAACTGCAGCATCTTCTTTAGCTCCAAATCACCAGTCTCTTTTTTCTCGCCTCTTTGAACTGCTAGCTTCTTAGGTCCATTCCTAAAGACAAGCCCAGTTGGAGCAGTCTTAGCAAAAGCAACTTTCATTTTAAACAACTTGTCAGCATCCAAACAATGATCATCTAACTCCATTGCACTCCCACATTCAATGGCCTGCTTCAAAATTAGTAGAACTCCCTCAGTCCATGGTGGGCCTAAACTCACTAGCTCATCAACGTTCTTAGTGTCTTTTAACCATGGATGAGAGTTCCAACAGGTTTTTGCTACAAGCACTGGTCCTCAGTGTCACGGGACTAGTTTCCTTTACACTAGAATAACTAGATACCGTGCGGCCTTAACGCACCAAATTCCCGTCCCTACGAGAAAACGTTAAGTAAGCCTTTCGACGCCCACAAACTAATTCAACCTTACTAGGCTAAATTAGGATAACTTTGAGTAGAGATTTTGGAAGTAAAGACAATATGTAGAACAAGTAAGTTTGGGGAATTTTCTCTTGTATAAAAACAACTCAAACTACAATGAATGAATTTACAATGAGACTACTTCTCTATTTATAGGCAAACCTCCTTGGATTCAAGGGCTAAGATCAATCCCCATCCAAGGGTCCCCATTGGCTACAACTTGCCTTAAACCTCCTTAGACTAAGTGGAAGCAAACTTGGACTTGGCTTCTTTGCAAGTGGATTCTTCCTTCAAAA